GCTGTTGATGATGACGACGATGATGACGACGACGATGACGATGGCGATGACGATGCAAATGACGATGACGATGATGATAACGGTGACGATGACGATGACGATGACGATGACTATGACGATGATGATGATGTTGATGATGATGATGACCACGATGACGACGACGATGACGCTGACGACGATGATGACGACGACGACGATAACGATGACGATGACGACGACGACGACGACGACGACGACGATGACGACGATGATGACGATGACGATGATGACCACGATGACGACGACGACGACGACGACGACGACGACGACGACGACGGACGACGACGACGATGACGACGATGATGATGATGATGATGGCTTATGTTGATGTTGGTGTGGATGTTGATGTCGACGCTGATGGTGATGATTCTAATAACGATGATGATGGCGAAGCCCGTGAGCCCAAAGCTTTGAAGCTGTCTGTTAGATAGACATGAGCCATGAGGCCGAGGAAGGTCCGCAGAGCCAAGTCTGCGGAACGCCTCACAAAGGGCTCTGTTTAGGGTTATGCGCCGCCTTGCTCCGCGGTCGCATAGGTGCTCCACCAAAATGCTCAGCGAAGCGGGCGATCTGCTCAGTCCGCAGTAAAGGATTGAAGCCAGTCTTCAGTACGGCAAGCAGACCTTTGCTGCTCGAGATGATGGCTTGCCACCTCCGCCTGTGGACAGTGGCTTGCCCTGCTGCCCCATCGGCCTAGGCAAGGCCTTCCGTGCTCACATTGCACCAGCAGCCTGCTGTCGCCTGCACGCGGAGCCTGTCCGTGATATCCTGTGCTCAGCTCTGCGTCAACACTGTCGCGCCGGCACACAAGCAACACTTGATGAAAACGGCGTGAGCGCCAGCATTTCTCTCATTCCAAAACCAGGCGAAAAGCCGACGAGCGTTGACTCCCTGAAGCCTATTGGCCTGAGGAGTCCAGCTAAGAAATCATTGGCCGGGGCCCTAAAGTCTCAGGCGAAGGTTTAGCGAGAACCCCTCCTTCGTACCCTTCCCCAGTACGCTTACACCCCCGCCTATCGAGGGACTGCCGACGCATTGCTCAGGGCAGGTCTCCCAGCTCAGAGCTTCCTATATGGTGGATAGGATCAGAAAACCGCCCAACCAGCTGCGAGACACTTCAGCACCAAGTTAACCAGGCGACAGTAGCCATGAGACAACGCATGCACCAAGACGCTCGGTATGAGTTCTCGGCGGGTGACCTCCGAGGATCCATAGTTACCAGGAACGGGATCAAACAGGGGCGCATCATCGCACCTTGTCTTTAGACCGTTTTCTCGGCGTCGGTGATGTTTAAATTGGTGGGAGCGTGGGACATACATTGGTTGAAGAAAGTAATGACCATCTTCGCTGACGACCACTGGGGGAGCTGGACTGTTCTTTCACAAGCCGCGCAGTCACACTCGAACATTTTTGGCCTCAAAATCAACTTCAAGAAAACAGCGGCGCTTCTCAGTGCTTCTCCGTTTGGAGGGAAAGCTTGCGAAACAGCTGTTGGCGGATCACACCTATGAGCATGAGGGAGCCGCGTGCCTAAAAATCAACATGAACGGCCAGGACCCAGGCTTGCCCATTCAACAGCAACACGTTTACCTAGGTACCACAGTAGGCGACCACCAGCGCAGCGACAGCAATGTGGCCAAACGATTGCAGTCTGGACAGTGATGGACTCTTCGTGACCCAGCGCCAACTTTGCCGTTGATTGAACGCAGTGTTGCTGGGCCCCGGTAAAAGAGGATTGGAGAAGGACGGCGCTGTCGAGGGTCCGAAGGGGTTGCTGCTGTGGGACGGTTGTTGGTCCCGGCGGAAGAAATACACCAGCCTTTTCTGGATCTGGTCAACAGCACCTCATCGGGATTTCCTTCAAGAAAGCTGATTTTTTGCCGGTGCGGGGTGAGTGGACCTGAATGCCCGATCCTCTTTCAGGTTCATCAATCCCAGTAAAAACTACTCACTGAACTCCTTCCCCAAGACCTTTTGAATACCGGCCACTGATAGCGCCCAACTGAGCACCTGTTGGCGTGTTGCGTTTTTTGGCTTGCAGCTGCTAGGCTGGCATCTACCGGATAGTCAACATGATTGCAGACCTGATTGACATCTTGCATCCGAAGGTACGAAACTGGTGCACGACCTAATCGCTGGCAAGGCGGAGGCCGACTGCAAACACCAGAAGAGGTTTCTCGAGCAGATGAAGGTCCGACGTTCAAGTTCAACAGACTGATAAAGCCGCCGAAACCCTAGCATTCAGGACTTGATAAACTAAACTTTCGGCCCAATCAGGACGCAACGCATGCACTGTCGCGGCCCGACCCGTGGCTGTATTTGCAGCTACCTCGCTTCGCAACCAAGCATCAGCAGTTGCTCAAGACCCGCCGAACATCGCCGAGCCTACAAACACGTTGATCAGCCCTGCCTATGCTGATGACCATACTCTCTCCATAGCGCCGCACACTTACTGCATTCGGGGTTACATACAACATCACGGCTCCAACCCAGCCTCAAGTCACAACGCAACGGTGAGGACTGCTGCTGAGCATGAACTGCGGCGCCTGGATGACGAAAAGAATCCAAGCCTTGTCACAAGCAACTCGCAGTGTGATTTGCAGCGCAACATGCACACTCTTGCGCCTGTCGCCGGCTGTGCTTTTCGCTCAGAGAGTGTGAGTATTCCGGTGGCAGCATCTGACCAAGGCCTTTCGCAAGCTACACCTGTCGACAGCCAATCTCAACTGGGCGATCAGATCTTCATGCTGGAGACCCGCGCCGAACGGCTGGAGTTAGAACTGCAGACCCTGAGAGACTTGTGTCGTGAGATGCAGCGCAGCCTACGTCAGTTCCCCGCATGCTCGATTGATCACACTCCGCGTTCGGGCTGCATAGTCACCGAAGCTCCGCAAACTCTAATCCTTCTTGAAGAGATGGACGAGTGAGGAGTTCTCAGTTTCGTGAAGTGTTGAATGTAACAACGGCATCATGGTTCACCATGGGAAGCTCCCACGAAGGGTTTTCAGCGTAGCTGCCATCAGCAGCCGTTGTGCCCAGAAGAGGCATAATGTTGGCGCCCGCTCGACGACTGACTTTTTTCCCGATGCGCGCGACGGTGAAGGTGAAGGTGAAGGTGAAGGTGATGGCCATGGCGATGGTCATGGCGACGGTCATGGCGACGGTCATGGTGATGGTGATTGCTGTTATTTTTCAGGGCGACATCGAGACAATCCCGCGACGAAACGTACACGCCGAAGGAGGTGCGAGAGAAACACACCCCACAGGAGAGATGGCTTGCAAGCCAAATGTATCTCCTGGAACTGTGGGCCAGGGAGATGAGTTGAGACTTCCACCTGCTGCGAGACAGAATGGATCACCTGGCAATGCTGATGGATCGGATCATCCTACGCTTGCCACCGACCATGGCAGTGGCAGGCCGGAATAAGGTGGCACCGCAGGCACTGCCGATAGCATTGGACACGCTGGACGACTGAATCTTACTCCGCTTTTGCCCCTAGCAGCAGGTTAAACACGCAGATGCGTCTTTTGCAGCGCAGAACTCAGACATTGTGGTCTGTTAAGGTGGCGCTGGCCTCTATGGCCCAGTGATCATCACGTTTTCCTACGTAGGCATGCTCACATGAAGCATTCGTGCTGCCACATCCTAGTGGCCGGGCCAATGGTCTTCTTTAGCACCCGCTAATAGAGCTCGAGACCCTCTACTGCACCGGAAGAAAAAGAAAGTGATTGCTGTTGGCGTTGATGTTGATGTTGCTGTTGGTGCTGAGGTTTCGTTGTTGGTTTTGTCGATGGTGATGACGATGATGACATCCTGGGGCAGCCGAGCCATGCAGTGGATCGTTTGGCGCTCAGACTTTTGGAATCTGGTCGAGCATCAAATGACGACATGCAACAGCTGGTCTCGGATTTCTCGGCTACCAAACGGCCACCACGCGTAGTAGGCGGCGCAAATCCTGAGGATGCCGATGCCTTCATGTTCCACACTGGAGCCTACGTCCATGGTGGTCCTCCTCACTGAAACGCTTTTGTTTGCTGGGGTCGCTGTCTTGCTTACTTCTATTGTGGCTAGTGTGGTTCCAGGGCACTCTTTCTTTACGGTTGTGCTCTCACATGATATCCAAACAGCCATCCACAAAGATGTCCATAGCAACAGAGCGGTTGACAACGTGATCATCCCGCTATCCGAATGGGCAACAGGTGGTGGCATTTGGCTTCGAGATGAGAAAGGGACTCATGAGCTTGATGGCGAAATGGGCACCGTTCAGCCTATCTGCTTTTTGATGCTACCAAGGAGCATGCTACACAGCTGGCAGGGTGGTCATTGAACGGTGCTGGTCACTTACCACATTCGCGACGGGTGGAGAGTTAGTGAGTCGCGGCAGGCACAGTTGAGGTCCCTGGGGTTCATGTTTTGGTCTGGCTGCGTCAGACAAGGCCCATATATGTAGAACACATTCCCGTTGCTGATCCGCGGATCGAACCAGATTTTGCTACTTCTTTTCAAGTGCGTGGCAGCGCTACGGCGCGCATGCCGCTGTGAATCAGGATGTGCTGAGTACAGCTTAAAGCCGGGCGATTTCCAAGTTGCCTGTCCTGCTACGGCCTCGCAAGGCGTTGGACAGACGCTGCGCACACAAGGACAAAAAGATGATGGTGTTGACGTTGATGACGATGTTGGTGTCTATGTTCATGATGATGTTGATGCTGATGACAATGGTGATGATGAGGATGAGGATGAGGATGACGATAATGATGATGACATGTTGAAGTTGATAATGATGATGATGGTGGTGATGATGATGAGGAGGAGGAGGAGGATGGAGGTGTTGCTGGCTTTGGTAGCACCCATGGCGCTGACGACGTTGGAGAGGCTGCTGCTGACGGTAGACTCGTGATGGATGACGCCTATGATGGCGGTGAAGATCATATTGATGGTTACGTTGCTGGTGACAGATGGGGATTTATCACCTTCTTTTTTTTTCACCACCGATAAAGCATCTTGTCATTACAGGCACCCCTCCTTACGATTATTATCATGCTGTGCTCCACGCCACTATCTTAGCGCATCTCGCCAGAAGTACAAGAAGAACACTGCGTCATCCAAATTTTTCAACGGTTGCAGAGTCTCTAGGCAGGCCAAGCCAAACCATTCAAATGAGAACTCAGGAAACCCTGGTTATAGAACACAAAACCTGTCCAACAGAGACTCAGTCTGTCAAGCAACCTTGTCTAACACAAAACTATGTCGAAGAGACCATCGATCCAGCAGAAAGCCATGCCTAGAAAAAATGCTGTGGAATAGACACGGATATCGGCAGGTCAAAACCCCTCAAGATATTGAACGCTGACGTGAACACGTGTATGTGTGTAGACACGTATGTATGCATGTATGTGTGTACCTATGCAATGATGTATGTATGTACGTATTTGTGTGTGTATATGTAGGTGCACATGTCCGGATGCTCTTTGCACCGTAGTGTATGATAGTCTATGAGTGTATGCCAGCGTCGCATTGCTGTTGTTTCTAAACGTCAAATTCACCGCTGTCTTCCTAACCATGCTGATAGCCATTGTCATCTGCATCATCATCCAGCTGTGCACCATCATCACCATCGTCGTCTCCCTCTTGTTCATTATCACGGACGGTTTCTGTACATGTGGGCTCATCATGTGCATGGCAATCAGCCAGTCAGCGGCATTCGCCGCTCTGGCTGCTGCAATGCAGCCCTGGAGAAGCCTCTGCTTGCAGGCTCTGATTAGGGCCTCAGGTCTTGAAACTGAACAGCAGCCTTCCGGCATATCGCTGTTGATCCTCAGCTCAGAACTAGAAAGTCTGCTACACATTGACACGCGGTCACGGTGCCGAAGCCTACCTACCTGCGGTTTTGCGTGTTGAAACTCAAGTTCCTCCAAAGCCCTAAAGCCTAGAGACTCTGTGAAACAGCCAGCAACTAGGGTGAGGCCTTGTTGATGGCCATCGCCTCACCACCTGTTTGCATAGTGACATAGTATAGTGGGGTTTACTGGAGACAAAGGCACAGCTTTGGGGACGCCGCTTAAACTGGCGTATACCGAGCAGTGCACGGGGATACTCCAAAGTTTACATAGTATGCCACCATGGGCCTCAGAGGCCCCACCTAGAATATTCAGAAGTCGACCTCGAGGATCACATTGAGGGTATCTCAACTTGTGGGCTTGACGGCAGCGGGTCCCACGCAGAAGTTCAAAGCCACATGCTGCTGATTTTCACGCATCTTTGTTGGGCTGGCTCTGCAGTTTAAACTAAAGCTCCATAGCATTCTTGGATTAACAAGCATTCCAGTCACTGTCATCTCAGTCAACCACTTCGTCCGGTCATCTTGCCCTTGGACTTGACCTCGAAACAAACAGGATTTGAGGGGCTCAGCTCAGTGCTGTGAGGCATCAAGCTTGGAGATATCACTGCTCGACGCCCCATGCATGACAATCGTGAAACCGAAGATTGAATCGGGAGGTGGCAAACCAAGGCGGCTTTCTCTCAATTCAAAGATGGAAACTCAAAGTTTGGCCATGAGGTTGATCCGTTGATCCTGGATACAGTAAGGTTGGGGTTAGGCTTGCCAGGTGTCAGAAGCTCAAGAAGGCTTTTTAGCTAAGCGTTTGACAGTCTCGCAAATTGAGGAGTTCTGAGGCTTCTGGCCCCAGCCATAGCCCTGAACCCGAAGCTCGAAACCCGAAAGCCTTCAACCCGGGAGACAACGGCAGAAAGTCATCCTGGGCTTCTTGGCCCAAACGAAGTAGCCACCCTTGGGCTCGTAAACCTGACGTGTGCTACCAATTCGCGTTCATCCTATCCCATACCAAGAAGACGACGATAACGACAGCACCACCGCGAGGAAAAAAAAAAAAACGAGCAGCGACAACTCAGGTGTTAAAAAAACCTGACAGACCTGGCGTCTGGCAGTGCCTACTGGGCCTGTAGCTAGATTCGTGCAGCGCAAGCGCTCGCATGGATGCCAATACAGACCTCCTTGAGCAGCAAGAATAGTAGTAGTAGTAGTAGTAGTAATAGTAGTAGCAGCAGTAGTAGTAGTAGCAGCAGCAGCAGTACCAGTAGCAGTAGCAGTAGTAGCAGTAACGGTAGCAGCAGCAGTAGCAGTCGCAGTCGCAGTCGCAGTCGCAGTCGCAGTCGCAGTCGCAGTCGCAGTCGCAGTAGAAGTAGCAGTAACAGTAGCAGGAGCAGGAGCAGGAGCAGTGGCAGTAGCAGTAGCAGGAGCAGCAATAGCAGTAGCAGTAGCAGACTTCAGACTTCACGCAGCGGAATGAGTCCACCAAGCGACGGAAAAGGTGCGAGCAGGCATTTGCCCGGTAGCTGGTGCTACACAACACGTCTGGTTGTCTCAAAAGAGAGTTCCACAATGCAACACCGTCTCGAGAGACCTAAGCATGTTGCGCTGGATGGCATGTGATCATATGTTCACTCGTTGATAGAACAGGAGATAGCATGTATCTCTCATCCATTCCGGTGTCTCCCTGCACAGAAGTGACCTTCTGTGGTCATCGCAACTCCAATCGCCCCGCTCAGAGTGTAAGATCACTTGGTAGTGGCCTGATTTGGGATGCGAGCCATGATGACATATAGAGGCCAATCTGCGAAACTTGCAAGGACGTACCTGTGTGTTCTCACCGGTGAAGAGAGGAATCCAAATCTCCTCGTCCACATCAACATGTGTATGCAGTTTGCTAATCTTCCCGTGGTCATTGTGGAAGCGCCCGAGCTGTATCGTTAGCACTGGGGGCAGCGCTGTAAAGGCATGTACATCTTCTTGTGTATGCCATGTGTCCACCAAAGACTGTACCTTGTGGCGAAGGGGCAAGCCCTGGCGGCGTGTTAGGCATGTACAACAGAAGAGGCTGAGCGCTGTGCCCCGAGTCCTTGGAAGTCCCCGCCCCACGAAGAAACGTTCGAGCTTCCCATGTGCCCTCCACAAGTGGTAGCCGATGCTAAGAAAGGATGCAAACTCCGCCACATCGTGCCGCCTATGTCGGTCCTTCCAACCACTGATAATTGCATTCCACATGAGATCCTTGACGAGATGCACTGGATCTGAGCGTACATTGTCAAGAAGTTTGCGAAAGAAGTGAGCCCCGCGCCCCAGGAGATGATAGTGCAGATCACTGCCATCATCAATCGCCCAAGAGAAAGCCTGCACGAAACTGTTCATGTAGCACGTGTTGCCACCGTTGCCTAAGACGAGCCTCATCGCTGGCCGAGGAGATCCCTCAGCTTCTGAGCCAGTGGGCCCCGTCTCAGTCCTGCCCGCTGTACGCAAGTCCCACCAGCTGCAAGACGCAGCATCCCTCGAGCTCCTCCATGTGTTCCCATGCCTCGATCCCCGCCCCCCTTCCAGAAAGATCGATGTAGAAGCTGGCCTGATTTTCCATTGTTTCCGTAAGCTTGCGTGTGCAGCTGAAGCGGGTCACCACTCCCGTTTTGACTGCTGCGTAGGGCTTCTCCAGGGAGTGCTTGACCTCCGCCGTGGAGATCGGCGAGCTTCCCTTGTCTTCTTGCAGAATCCGAAGTTGGGGATTCCAGGCCTGGTACTTCCACGCAAAGTCCGGTGTCATCCGGCCTGGTCCTTCTCGACAGTCTCGAGACGACTGGCTAGCTCCCGGAAGAGAGCCAATGCCAGTAGTTGACGGGCCGGCTGAAACCCCACTCCCCAAGTTGGCGACTCCGCCTGCTTCTTCTTGAAGAGCGTGGCCGTCTGGTAGAGGTAGTGCAGGATGGAGTCCTTGCCCGGGCGCATGAACATCATGAACGAGTGATCCTGTTTGAGAACCTGTGGCTCCTCTTCCTGACGAAGAGCTAGCCGAGCCAAAGTAGTCGCCAATTCGTAGTTTTTGCCACCCTTGGGTTTCTGACCTTGACCTTGACCTTTGTGCTCCTCCGTCGGCCTGCGGCGTTTGAGAGACTGCTCCTGCGACACCTCGCACTGCCACGCCACAGTGCATTTAGTCAGGTGCTCCTTCCAGTCCCGACAGGTCGCGCCGCAGCAGGAACAAGTTGGGCTAGCTGTAGCCGTCCACTGCACTAAGGTCTTGATTCTACAACAAACGTTTTGAGAATGTCTGGATGTGAGTACTGGTAATGCCTCTTGACCGTGCGATGCGATGTACACCATTGCCACAAAGTACACAATGCTGTTTCATGAGAGGCATGACATCTCGCAAATGTATGAAAGCGTCGATTCCCTTCCGTGAAGCTCGAACCACCTCCACACGTTGACATAGCCAGGGTGGTACATCTGCTGGTGCATCTTCAGTGGGCATGTTCATGTACGCATCCGTTTCCTTCACCGGCTTGGGCTGTACAATCATGTTTGGGCAGCTGTTACGATTGATGTGCTGCGCCAGCGTCTGCCATTTGGAGAACTGTTTGTGGCATTTGCTGCATGTTGGCAAACCCTGCAATGCATGCTCCGCTTTGTTGAAGACAACAGGATGCTCCTCTTTAATGTCATGTGTTCTGCGGGCATGTGTCGTCAAGGCCGCTGCCGTGCTAAAAGTAGCCTCACATTTGGGGCACGACCAGATGTCGTGCTCTGCCTCCTTCTGAGCATTCTCAGATATTTGTTCTAGCCTGGCACGCACATGCGTACTTCATTCCTCATTCCACATCCAATCACTCTGTAAGGCTGCCGCTTGTTGCTCCCATTCGTGAGCAGCACGAAGCTGGTCTGTGAGACACGGAATGCCGTACTTCCGCATGATAAACTCGTGAGTGTCACCAGTGAGGTGCGCCTGATTCGATACGATAGCACGAACGTGCTTCATCACCAGTAAGCCCGCAGCAGTGAAGACCGTAGGTCATGATGCTGAGCACACAGCTCCTCCAGAAGCGAAGCTTGTAGCCCACGCCGTAGCAGTAGCAGTTGCAGTAGCAGTAGCAGTGGCAAGAGCAGCAGGAGCAGCAGGAGCAGCAAGAGGAGGAGAGTAGCAGCAGCACCAGTAGCAGCAGCAACAGCAGTTACTTTAGCAGTAGCAGTAGCAGTAGTGGTAGTCGTAGTAGTAGT